TAGGCATTTTGTTCAGTTTGTACATGTAATGTCAATTACGGAAACAAATAAGTTTAGTGGGAATACTTAAAATATTATTATATTTGTATATATATATAATATTTCGTTTCATTCGTCAGTTATAAGTAGGTATACAGTTTTGGTAAGAACAGTAATTTAAACTAACTAATAAAGTAACATTTGATTTTATGACTTGATGGAAATCAACTCTGGAAAGTCATTTCAAATGCTTTACAGCGATTATGCGTTCCGATCTCGTTAAAGGTAACCGCAATGTATTAATCATTTATAATCAGTAAATATTTATTTCATTAAACATACGTTAAAAATAGTACATTACATGTAAGCTATTAATTAATTATTAACTTTTCATTAATTAATACTCTAAATCCAGACGTAAAAACAAGTAAGTGCATCTGTGAACACACATGATTTAGTATAAGAATGCATTTATATTTTTGGTTGATCTTATTATTTCTGGATGACTTACTTATAATACTTTAAGGGTAATCCATAAATTACGTCACACTAATCCCATAATTTATGATCTCTCCCGTGGCAAAGATTGTGACGTTTTTGAGGACCTGCTTTGTGGTAAAAACCCACATATTTTGCAATTTTGTATTTTCAAAGTCCAATATCTTTATTTAATATAGAAGCATACACTTACTTATTGATAGTCAAAAAACTCTACCACCGGTTCGGAAGGAAAGCCACAGACCTGAGAAGAACCGGCGTAAGAAACTCAGCGGGACATTTTTCTTTACTTGCCAAAAAATTACAAATAAGTGTACAATTTATTAAATTCCACTTGAAAGAGCCTGGAGCGATCAATTCATTTCCAGAGTGTGTTATCATTCAAATAATCACTAATGCTATAATAGCCATTAACACACGTTCCTTCACAATTTTTTTTGAATTTAGCAACGGATTCATTTTGAACGTTTTCTGGGATTTTGTTGTAAAAGCGTATACATTGTCCCATAAAAGATTTACTGTCTAGCAATATTATCATTAAAACAACAGCATTTAATTAAAATTTCTTTCGGATTTCTACAAGATTAACCTTTGATGTGTAGGATACATCATCATACATACAACATACATACATATCATACAGCTCAAATCAATAGCGGGGCAGCCCTGCCCGTGAGAAATTGGCACGATCAATGTAGGCGGCGGAATTCGTGCAATATAAAGATCCGATGGAGAAGAACTGACAAAAGTGGTATTGAAGAAGACTTTATTAATTTTCTTCATTAGATAATATAAAGAGCAAAACTTTATATCAAACCCCTGGCCCCAATAATTGTATTATTTATCCGTAAACATTTTTATACACTTGAAATTTATGATTAAGGTCCATTATCCTTCAGCACCTGTTATTAGTTTTAACGTTTACATCTATATTTTGAATCCAATGAAACATTTTGTTAAACCTAATGTAATAACAAGAAAAATATTTCGCTGCCTGTACAAATAAGGATAATTTGCGAAATGCTACTACCAAAGGAAAATAGTTTTGTGTGACTATTTTATTGGTCTTATGAACTGCGATTTCTCACAAAACTTTCAAGTCCCCTTTCAAATAGAAATCTTTTGAAACGTTTGAACAAAAGCTTAAAGTTTTCTGATTTGAGCTACAGAGGTATCGTTGGGAAACATTGCCGAATTCTAAATTTATATTAATTTCAAAGACTACCAGGTTTACAGAAATTTCTGTTCAACCTAATTTTATGTAATTTAAAATTGCATTAATACATTTTTTCGAATTTAACATTTCCTTTGAGGAGGGTTTTATCTTCTGGCAAAGTTGAAAAACAAGATGGCATTGGCAAAACAAGTAGCATAATAAATGAGCATCCTTTTGGAATTAATAATTTTACTCGTGCAAAATTTTCTTTTCATTGCACGTAAAAATTAACTAGGATGTTTCAAATATGATGCAGAGGCTACATGTAATAATAAAAATTAATATCTTTAAATACAGAAAAGGAAGATAAAATAACACGTATATGTAGTTTTCTACAAACAAGTAGTTTCTTGAAAAATCTAGTTAGGTTAGTGAACGCTAATAAAACATGGAATCCGCACAACTCTCAATGACAGATATCACGCGCAGTCAAACAAAAATGTACTTATTTGTTAATTCAACCAAGTCTTACATCCCTAAAACATCCTCGCGGTACGGTTTATAAGCCCCGTGCCGTCAGAGTTTAGTTTCTCGTTATGTCAGTTTTGAGCGACAATAATGCTTCCACGTTTATTATTTGCGTTCACTGAGTTAGGCATATTGATGAGAGGTGGAGTAAGTATCTTTTTTTGTGGAAAGATAGGCGAGCCGACGGTTTCCCTGATCTTAACAGATAACCGCCACGTGTACATCTACCAACCATTTCGTTAATAAATGGGCCCTGGTTACCTCACTCCCCAGACGATACGCAAAAGCATATCCACATCGAGACAGTCTTCTATGAGTTTGTCTTTTGTGTGAGTGTCTTCGAGACAGTCTTCAGTGCCTCCCCGGACGAACCTCTCCATCCGTGCAACAGCTGAAGCTGCTGCGTGGCTATACCACAGTGTAAGATAAGGGTAAAGGATACCACTCGAAGCAAAAATAACGTAGCGTTGACCGTCCGGTAGCTACGTTGGTAGTATAGGTAAAATTTAGAGCAGAATGGTGCACTCTGTCTAAAAAGAGAAAGACTTAATCCTTTCAGTTGCATAATGAAGGCTGCTAATGATGGTGATTATAAAAACAATTGTATAAAACGCCATACCCCGCTAAACGAAACCGATGGAATAGTATCAAAAGCAAAGTTTTTGAGAGTGAATTAACGGAAACCCATTTGGCTTGCGGTGTAACATGGCAAATTCGTAACTGGATTGTCTATAGTGGCTTTCGTGAACTCTTTAAATACTATTAGAACAACGGCATCACGTCGTGGCGGGGCACTAGGTGTACTACGAAAAACGAAAAACTACTTTTATCGTTTCGCTTGAATGATACACCAAAACGGTTAGCATCTGGCCTGTAACTTTATAAGACGTTTTAAGCAACGATACACATCAAGATGAAGATCTTGTCGGTGCCTTACCCATCTTACATTGGAGCTGCTGCTTGCGACTACGTCTGCGTGGAATAGGCTGAAGTGACATTAAGACAAAAAGACAGATATACATAAAAATGTATATAAATTATAGCCTATGTCTTATTCTGATGTATAAGTTATATTCTCCATTCAGTAATATTTGTGTGAAAGAGAAACAAACATCCATCCATACATACAAACTTTCGCCTGTATAATATTAGTAAGGAAGTAAGGATAATAATATTTCATCATCATCATCATCATTTCATCTTGTTCGAGTCCATTGCTGAATAGACTGCCACGAAGCATGATCCTGAGCCACCCGCATCCATCGAATTCCTGAACATTTGCACAGGTCATCAATCTATCTAGTGAGGGACCCTTCTACACTACGATGCCCAATACGCTGCCGCTTTCTTCCCTATAAAACTCTGTATACACGATATCTGTTATATATGATATATATAAATCAAAACAAAGTAAATTCAATCTGTCTCCCGGCAATGAAAGAGCGAGACTTAATAAAACATATTAAATGTAAAAGCCTTGTGTAATATTAATAGCTACCCGCGGAATTGATATTGGCGGATATCACTCGTTACGGACCGAGGAAACTTTTATCGTTTATCGTTTCTCGGAATAGAGACCCGTAGCGTTCGACGCCGGACTAAGTTGCGGGGCGCGGTAAAGCGAGCGCTGCGGACGGGGCTGAGCGGTTAATTCCCGTAGCAGGACACCCTAGTTTGCGCCTAATTGGCTTAATGCACGCCACTCGGGCCGGCCGCGACGTTTGCGCTGCGATCTAATTAACCGAAATTACATTGTCAGCGAATAAGGGTTCGCCGGATGCGACTGCATTGTGTGGTCAGTGGGAAAGCGTTCAATGATGGCTCTCAACATTTGAAATCAATTTCTCAACATTTATTCTCAAATTTTAAATCTTATATCGATTTTTTTTAATCATATATATCGATATGAATACTTTGTAGCAGCCTATACATGTCCCACTGATGGGCAAAGGCCTCCTCTGTACAGAGAGTATCAGGGCATAGTCCACCACCACACGGCCCCACCGCGGATTGACGGACTAGTTTTTTTAATGTATAGGTCAATTTACAAATTAATTTTGTGATGACTTTTTAACAGGGGCATGATGTTTTTGCCATTTTTATAGATAATAGTACGGAATCCTTCCCGCACGAGTCCGAATCGCAATTGGCCGGTTTTTAAGTTTTTTTTTTAAATTCAAAACTGGCAAGTTGTTGCGTAATAATATGGGCTGATGTCTGAATTGAAATAATTATGATAGCAGATAAATGAAGTGTGTGAAGAAAGCAAAACTGAAAGTAATATGGATCTGAAGGACACTGAATTGGTGTGGCTGGCTATGATTCGTTAATTAATAATACTAATAGATAGTTAATGCTGGAACGGAACATAATTAACTGATGCTCAATTTCCTTTACAATAACGAGAACTATTACTCTCTAATATACATAATGTATAATGTCAACAATTATTATTGGAACTTATAAGTCTGAGTCTTAGTAACAGAAAACGGCGGCCGCTTGGGTGAGGTATGTGACCCCCCCCCCCCCCCCGTACACGTTCGTCTCACCATCGAATAGAAAGAGATAGATATATATGGTTGAGAGACCGATGAGTGTATAATATAAAAGTAGGGAGTAAGGAGTCACTTTTTCTCGAGGTTCAGGCTAGGCGCCTCGAGCGCCCGGCCACCTCAAGTCCGTCGGATCTGTAAAGGCCCCTGAAGGCCAACAGTGGCTCATCAAAAAAGTCACTTTTTTTAGTTTCCAGTCACCCGTGCGCGTTAACAGACGTTACACATATCTTTCTCGGTCTTAGTAGTGTTGTTGTTGTTGCTGCTGCTGCTGTTTGTTCTGTAAAATGGCTCGTACTAAACAAACCGCTCGCAAATCTACCGGTGGCAAGGCCCCGCGTAAGCAGCTCGCCACTAAAGCTGCGCGCAAGAGCGCACCGGCAACGGGCGGTGTTAAGAAACCCCATCGCTACAGGCCCGGCACCGTCGCTCTCCGTGAGATCCGTCGCTACCAAAAGAGTACCGAGCTCCTGGTTCGCAAGCTTCCCTTCCAACGGTTGGTCCGCGAGATCGCTCAGGACTTCAAGATCGATCTTTTTTTAAAGATTATTTTTATTTTTAGTGCTAGTCTCTGCACTCAAGATAAAACTGAAAATTGACAATTTAAAGTTAGATCTTACTTACCATAAAGTGAGAATTATTAAAATTTATATAATTTGGGCATCACTGTTTCAATCATAATTATCATTAATAACTCGAAACTCTTTGATCCTTTTTAGGGAAAATTAGTTTAAACATATCTAATAAATTAAACTAAACTGACTGCTACTGATTTTGGAAATAATAAAGTCAATTTGAGCTGGAACATTTAAGGTCAATCAGGATGACTCAACAGCCTATTGTTACCGAATTTACAAAGAGAAAATTTTAATAACAGGTATACTCGTACATAGAAAACACTTTTAATAAAATGATGATTTATTACATTGTTAAATGAATTTTTATATTACGTAATTTAGTCTTAAAATTTATTGCATTAAAAAGATTTTGGCATTACACAACAAAATTCTAAGAAATCGGTAACATATTTATTCAACAATAATAATAAGAATATAAATTTATTTGCGTGTTTGACGTAATACTTTTATGTTTCATAAACTTAGTTTAAAGATTTCAACAAGATTAAGAAGCTTTTATGCACAGATCGCACATAGATGCTGACAACTAATGCTTTTACGTCAAATAAAGTTAGCAGACTTTCGAAAAGATAGAAGTTATTATACACGTAGATACATGATCGCACGTAGACTCAACAACTGAAAACATCCCAGCGGAATCGATAACGTGATCTCAATCACAAACCAAAGGTCGACAACAAACGTTGAGAAATAAAAATGGCCCGTGTTTCCTCTGTGAGACTGTGAGAGAATCGATTTGAGACACCGCAAATGGGGGGCACGCGTCGGTCCGGGGCCCGTCGTCTCATTCTGATCTTCGGGCAAACAAAGCGCCGGCGTCAAAGGCTCCGTGTAAAAAGGAATCCAGTGATAGAGGCAGTCAACAATGGGCCAGATAAGGTGTACAGTCTAAGCGGAATGCGCGAGCGTTATAAATGCTTAGATATTTCGTCCAACTAACGCCCGGTTTCTGATCATCGTAGAAGTTAACTAATCAGTTGTCAAATGGCTTTTCAAATGTTAACTTCTACGATGATCGGTATTTTAGAAACCGGGCATGAATGTCTTATGTCAACTAGTTTATGGCCTTCGGACTAAAAGAGCGTAAACACTCAAAGTATGGCTTGTAGACGAGATTAAAAATTAACAATTTAATTATGTATCTTTCTGTTTAGATACATGACTGACAATTTGAGTTGTATGCTCAATCATGGTTTAACAATTAAAAAAGTAAATAAATTTTACAATTGTCTAGTTATCTTGAAACAAATAAACTGACTTAGAATAGTTGAGAATTGAGTTGAGAATTGTTTCCAATTACCTGTATAAAATTTTTGGAAAAATTTCTGTTTTGTCGGTCTACATTTTAATCACGAAACTTTAACGATTGGTACTTTATGTATCGATCAAAATAACGGACTATTAAATATGTACTAATGTCCCATTGCTGGGTCAAAGTGCCTTCTGTACAGGTAGGTGGTTTCGAGGCAACTCCACTACGGATTGGTACACTTGGAAATACTTTTGAACTTTGCGTTCCGTCTGATGAGTGAGATTGCTAGAGTCTACCGTTTTTATCGGTTGTCAACGCGTCTGTAATTCCTAAGGATTCTTTTTTTTATGTGAGAAGGTGGCAACGAGCTGGCGGTTCACCTGATGTTACGTGGCAATCGCCGCCCATTGACATTTCCAACACCCGAAGGTTTGCAGACGCGTTGCCACCTTTTAATAAAGTTGGCATCTGTTACCTTACTCACCAGACGAAACGCAGAAGTAAAACACTTCCAATTCTCGCCGGTCTTCTGAGAGGTCGTGGTACTTACCCCGACGGACCCGCCCATTCGTGCAACAGCGAAGACTGTTGCGTGGCCCTACTACAGAAGTTATAATATCAGGTGAACCAACCACCTGCTTGCTTGCCAAATATTCACAAAAACAGACAATCAAATGGGAATATTGAGAAAACGCTTGCTGAAAACGGTGACCATTAAATATAATAATAAACACATTTCTTCTAAACCAAAACGAACATTTTTGCACAATAAAGTAATACAGAGAAGCAGTTAAACATTTTTAAAGAAACTAATTATCGTGATCGCAGCTAATTCACGAAAATAGCGGGGTATATTTGTTAGCTATCCACCGCTTTTGGCATGGACCAAGCGCTTAGTCGGCGCGGCGGGCGAGGTGCGCTTCCGGAGTCGCTTTGTGCCGCATTGATACAGCGCCGCCGATAAATATTGTGGCGAGCTTTGACTGCCGATATTATTGCACTACTCGCAGCGCCCTACCCCACTTGCCCTAGCGATGTTTTCTTTCGATAAACATCAGACTCGACTGTGTAGTTAATAATGAAAAAAATAAAAACAAAAACCGAACAAATATATTCAGAGAATAAAATTACTGTTTCAAATTTTCAGATGTAATAGAGGACAATTTTTCCACTTAGGATCAAACTTCATTGCCGGTTCGACGTTTATAAATCGTAAACAATGATTCTATATTTTTACATAATTTGCTACATCATCCACACATCCTAGAAAAAGAACGTACACGCAAAACTAAATAATCGATTTTTTTGATTATGAGACGTCTCGATATTTGCATTGATACAGAAAGGTGATAATAATGTCTTTGATAATTCTTCGAGTCTTGTGAAAGGTGAGGCAAAAGAAAAATGTTTTTGTCATAATATCATAAGAACACTTATTTAGAAGGTTACTTACAAACAAGATATGATTATATGAAGAAGAAGCTAATTTAGTGATGTTGTTAAGTAATTGGCTTTGGTGCCGCGGGTAGTAGGTTTGATGTCCACACGTGACAAGTGTATGTCACAGGTAACGATTCCCGAATAAAAAAGATGTCCATACAGAGGTCGTATATATTTCTTTATAACATGTTTTCATATTTATTTTAATGTTCTTTTTATCCGTATTTAATTTTAACATTACTACTTAGTTTTTATTTCTTTTCTTATGAATAAGGTAGTGTCATTGTTAATTTTAAGTTATTGATTTTCATGTATAAAAATAAAGTAGTGATAAACAGCGGTGCATATCAATTGATGAAAGAGCTTGGTTTATTTCCACTTTATGCTGTTAGGTGTTGATGTGCCTAAATGCATATTTTTTATGAAAAATATCCAACAAAACAGGGATAAAACTAACCTAAAGAAAGATCACGGCACGATTTGTCTTATACACACACGGAGATGAAAATTTAGGAAGGTACGTTCAAGACAAGACTTGTAAAGTGTACAAGTGCACTGACGCAGCCGTCCGAGTTGTCTCGAAGTGCGGGCGGACTGAAAACCGGCGTCGGGATCAGAACGAATCTTAGTTACTGTATCTCGACTTTAACCGAGTCCCGTCCGTTTCACGGTCTTATGCTGCTACACAGACCTTCACTTATTATTATTATTATTTTTAGTTTTTTTTGTTATGTTTACATTTATTTTAAGTTATTCTAATATTATTTTATATAATGTGTAGTTACATTATTATTTTTAAGTGTTCTATGTGCAAAAATTTCAAGCCCTACTCAGCCCTCTTTTCAACAATACCGAGGTGACTCCTACCCATTTTCTGACTTAACCGTGTCTCATTAACGCCGTATGGGATCACACCTAGAGCGATTTTATGACACGACTTCGAACGAGCAACACCTCCGTCTAGGGCCCTTTCCAGTGTCAAAACTCACAGATGACGGTAGGTACATAAAACCAAAAACTAGTCCGGCGTATTTCAAAAGGCGGCGGTGCGCTGTCACAAACGGCGCGTACCCGATTGCGAGCCGTGCCCGTTTCAAATAGGGATGCCGAAACTGAAAAAATATATCGATATATATAAAAATATCAATATCAGCCTCGATATCTCGAGGAGAAAATATCTATTTATCGATATTTTCTTTTAAGGCCCTGTTGTCCAAAAAAACGTTTACCAAGTATTAAATATTTAATTGTACGGACTCCGTCCCGGATTCGGATTTGAGAAATCGTATCAAAAAAGAAATATCGTTTTTTATAAGATTTCGATATTGAATATTTTATAAAAATATGGATATTTTTTCGGCATCATTAATTTCAAGTCAAACATCATAAATCCGGCCGGCCGGCCATCGTTGCTGGAGCGGTGTTTGCCGCGCGCGGTGGGTTTTTATTGCGCTCATTGCCCGCCGGTTGTTCTGCCCCCATGGGTTTTTCCGCCCGAAGGGGATGCGACAGTTCAGCGGACGAAGCACACCTGATGACCAATCACCACCGCCTACGAGCGAACGCAAAACGAAAGGGATCTATAAAGTTATCACGCTCGCCGGATGAAATGCAAAATCGTGAGCACTTTGAGGCCGCGGTGATTCCCCGGTAGCGCGTCTCATACTAAAGCAGGAGCCAATATGTGAGCCAGTACGTAGTCTGATTGCAAGTTAGACTTCTGCACGATATCATAATAACAATATTTAAATCGCTATTAACTTTGTAACGTAGTTTCATCCGGCCATTTTCCCGGTGAATCCGAGCTGTTTTAAGAATAACAACAAAATCCTATGCAAGCTTCTAACAGAGAGAAACTCTATTGTCAAATCACGTAGAATAAATAATATGCTGTATTATATATCTAGGCGAAAATGCCCTTTTAAGAGTATAGGTTCTGGACTCCATATTTCAAGATATAGGAATGCAGAAATTCAGCTCGGTTTTACCGGGAAAATACCACAGCTGATATTACGTTACAAAGTTTGGTCACATCACAATATACATACTCGTTCAATTTCAAAATTAATTTAACGAGGCGTTTCCTACGATTCGTTTTAAAAATTAACATAGTCAACGCCATCGTAGATGAGCGCCATTTACTGACATCCGTATCCTTGGTCTCTTCAGGTGTTAATCTCCGTAAAAAGCACGCATATATACACTCGTGGATCTAATTGTAGTCTTAGAAAGCCTTAGTAGTATTGTACAGCTTAAAGACTATATCAATCCAACAAAAAAATCCTTTTTGTTGCTGTGCTGTGCATGTGGGTAGTAAACAATCACAGTAACGGACTATTTCGTTTCGCCTTGAAACTCAAATTGATCAGTTGGAGTATATAAAGCGAGACCTTTCGATTTTCTAAATGCAAATATTGCGTTTGAGGTTTTAAATATGAGTCATTAAACTAGTGTACTAATCCAAATATGTGTACTAATCCATTTATAAAAACGAAGAATTTATTTTTACTCAGTAAGGAAAAACAGTTCAAGCGATTTTCAAACATCATGAAAGGCGATGAACATTAGAATTATTAAAATCGCAAATAACAAAACATTGAACACGTTGTATCTTCGACGTGCGATGTCTCTCATGCCAAGTAAAACCATTCAATCTGTGTCCATAATTACTTATAAAGAATCAAAATATTCCAAAAACGTAGTATTAATTACGACAAGTATATTCCAACAGACCGGGTAGAGAAATAATACCCAAAATTGCAGTTAAGAACTAAATTGACGGATCAAAAGTTGGGCTTTTCAAGTTTGTAACAAAAAGTGTACGCTCGTTACAATACATGGTTGAAGCTATGCCCCTGCAATGTGAAGAGGAATCATCAACGATGGAAATTATAGCATTAAAATAATCAGAGAGCTTATCGAAATCGTTATGATGAAATGCACACATGTCAGTTCGTCGTTACGTGAAAGTGCGGGGCGGCGTGTGCATACGGCGCCGGCTAGATCGATTATATGCGACTCACTTTCTGGCCGCAAAGCCCGACCGTAGGGTTGCCAAAATTGGTGAAATACTTAACTATGGCTTTGAATACCCATAATAAATATAGATGTAATGTATTAACATAGCCGATACGATAGCGGCAGAATAATTTTCATTTTTTAATAAAATTTTATCCAACGTTCACAATCAAACTACCTAAATTATAATTTTAAAAGGTAAAAATACATTTTAATGGAGAACAAACTACGTAGGGGTAAGGAGTCTAAAATAATGTTCACGAAAATAATAAAAACCCGATCGAACTACGTAGATCTATTATTATATAATCGCTCTCGAATTACTTAGTTCCACAAATAAAAAAAAAAAACAATTCGTATGGGTTCTAACTAAACGATAAATATATATTAAATGAAACTACTTTACGGATTTCATTCATCATTTGTCACGGGACAGACTGACCATGAACGCTGGAAAGGGTTCGAAACGTCGGGAATTTAAATCGAAATAAAAAACGCGATAAAATCCGTAAAGTAGTTTCATTTAATATGTATAATATTCGCGTAAAATCAAGAAAACAATACGATAAATATATTTTCGCATTCGCGTCACGCGGACAGCCCTAGGCGGGCGCCGGCGGGTCTCGTTTGATCTCCGCGCGCTCTCACGCCCCGCTAGCGGCCCGATTGATTTCACACCGATAGTTCATTACTGCGCTAAACAAACAATCATCTTGTTGCCAGAGTTATTAGATTTGTATCACTTTGATCTACAATCAAAAGAAAAATAAAAAAAAGAGCTCGCACCCAACATTATTTACCTACGGAAGCAGTCTACAGATATATATTTGCGTAGGCGCGTAGCGGAGCTTTAGAAGACCTAATGGATGTAGTAATTACATTGTTTAGTGGATAGACCTAATGCATCTAGTAATTACATTGTTCAATCAGAAGTAGAAGTCTAATATAAAAGTTTATGCCATGTCCTTCACTAGTCATATGTTTAAAGTTAAAAATTTTACTAATGTGACTTAAAAACCATAAACATTTTAGTAGAGTCGACGTCTTTCTTATTCGTGAGGATAGAAAACCTGCGTATCGATGCTGTGACGTGATCTTGGCGTCATTTTTAAGTACTGTTATGTATGTGGGATTCGAAAAATTACTTTTTAAAAACAACTTATTGATTGAGACACTGATTTATTAACTTGTTAATTATATAATTCTCAAAGAAATAGAAAGGAAATAGAAAGACACCCGAAATATGCACGGCGCGTCGCGTATGGTTGTTGCACACGAAATCAACTGCAGTGAGCTTGAGATGTGCTGATAGAGTTGCTTATTAAGAATTTAGCGTCATGACTAAAGGCCCATTTACACGTGCAAGTTTCTTGCCTGTTGTATACAATTAAATTGAAGCAATAAATGTTGCATGGTCTAAATAATTGTTTAGACCATTTGTTGTTTAGACCATGCAATTCATTTATTGCTTCAATTTAATTGTATATAACAGGCAAGAAACTTGCACCGTGTAAATGGGCCTTTATAGTCATACTATATCATACAACTTGTGTACATACAACAGTACGGCGTTTAAAGTCCATTGTATTGTTTCGGAGACTGCTCGATTCCGGCAAAGCGAAGAACATCTGGTCGAAATGACGGACCGTCGGCGTTGATGCGAGAAACGAGCGCGACCAATCGTCGCAACAGATGGCGCTGGCGCGACGCATCGGGAGCCAGAACGTAATTTAATCATAAATCATTATTATTACGAGTGTACCGCCATTGATAGTCAGCGTCGAGCGCTTCACGCACGCACCACAAAGGGAGGCAATCGTACGCACACAAGCAGCTAACTGCGAGCGATGTATGTACATTACGAAATGTGTTTCAATTTTATCGTACCTCGTTTTAAAGTGGGATTAATAATGCTAGCGTGTTGTACCATTAAAATGGACGTTTCGCTAATAATAACGTAACTATATATTACCTGTCGTCGGCTAACGAAAACGATAATATGGTTTAATAAGGGTAATATGGTTTTGATAGTGATTTTGTAGCGTTTGCATGGAGATGCCGCAAAACCGTTTTCTTTTGTTTAAATAAAAACCTTTTATTAAATTAAATACGATAGCCATGCGGTTGCTACATATTTTATTGTGCTTACACTCGCACATCTCGTCAAGACATGACAGAGACAAAAGCTCGTGAACATGCCATAGATTATTTTACAGTGCTGGGAATAGAACCACAGAAACGCGATTCAGCTACAATGTATGCAATTATTTGGCGTATAACAAGGCGATTCGTGCGAGAGTCTTTGTGGATTATTTAATTCTTGCTATAAAATCAGCACTGCTAGCTTAAACTCATAATGTTTATTTTTAAATATAAATATGTTTATTTGATCAAGAAGTAAATGTTGCTTAAGTTAGTGCTGTAGCCTATAAAATGCCAGTCTGCATACTAAAAATAAGGTTTTTCAACTTGTATATGGTTGTTAAAAATATATAAAATTTTATGCGTGTTTAAAAGTAAAGTTTTAATTAAAGTAAAGTCTCAGGTTGAAATTGGAGAAGAGGTCGTAGTTGAAAATATTTACAAAGCACCAGCAATGCAGCAGCAAAGCGGGGATATTTTTAAAATATTTTAATTAACACACACATACACGCACACTAACAGTGATGCACACAGGCGCCGAGGGTTGTCCGAGGAAAGGCGGGCAGCGGCTCTAGGCGCGAACCATCGCTCGAAGCGTGAAATCGTACAAATAAATAGCGGTAAAGATAACAAATTACAGGGAAATTGCTAATGATGAGCGGAGCGCGGCCCCGCGGGCGGTGCATTAAGCCGCCGGCAAACATCAAAGGGCCCTTTGACCGCGCCGACACACCCACACCCTCCCGCGCCAACCCGCGAGCTACTAATACACTAGTGTACGGCAATAACGGTGAATAAACGCCATTAGGTTTTATTGTTAGTCCGCTATTTTCTAATTGTGTTAAATTACTTCAATAAAATAAATTAGTTAGGAACTGCTGTTGATGTTATAATGCCGGCTCTATTGTGTAAGCAATAAAGTAAATACACTTTATAATAGTATTATTATTCTCAAATCGGATAATAGCATGGAACACTTTTGATTATTCCAATAAAATCTTCAATAGTTTATTCGCATTCATTTAGATATTATCATGCAAAATCATCGTCATAAACGCAGTTCACGAAGTGGATTTCAAATTTTGGCCTACAAAGACGTTGGCTAATTTTAGAGCACCTTTGAAGTTCGGTACTAAATATATAACTATTATATTCTTGTTGAAGACCAGCATGTCGCGAGATATAAACATAACTACACAAGCTATGCTCATTTGTGGTAAACACGATAGACATTTTAAAAACTCAAGGAAATGACATTACTTAAAATGTATCTTTTGATATGAACTACGAGTGTATACGAATTAAATCTATGCACAGAAGCTTATTTCTGGATCACACAGATAATTTTAGCGTCTTATTTGTCGCTGTCGCTGTTGTGTAGGCGATTCGAGGAATGGTGTAATCGATCATTTCGTTTTTTTTAATGTCACGAAATCGATTAAAAAAAAAGTTAACCGTTTAGCGGTTCAAATTTTTAACGGAGCGATAGATAAGGCAACCCTACACTGGGACGGCGATGTCAATTAATCATCGCCCACCGACTTCGGCCGCGTCGGCTTCCGGTGTTTGGCTTTGGTTCTTTCTTTTTCCATGTCAAGTGATTCAGTGCGTCAATAACGGAACGAAGTCGCCCGAGTAACGTTCGGCAAACAAGCATTATAAGTATAGCGTACCTTTTGATAGTCGGCTTCTTTTACGTTGGAAGTTTTACTCATTACAAAGTAGGTACATAATTACATCGTTGTTTTATCAAAGGTTATTTTCGATAATTGTCGCCTGTCCGCTTCTGAATAAGAAAAACATTTGGAACGTATTTTGCGTTTAAAATATTTTTAGCACTAGAGACTTGAGCCTTGGAGCCTCAAAACCTTTACAAATGACGTTGATATGAAATTGTTATAGATATAAGATTATGAATTCTTTGAAGCCTGCATAACAGACATTGGAAGTAGACTACACAATGTGTAGATAGTAAAAGTAGGTCATTCTCCTACTTAAGCCATTGTCAAGAAGGGAAAATTTTAAACCGTGTTAACACTGCTCTGATTTGATCTTAATATTATTTTTATTAAAAAGTAAGATAACTTTAACCTATGTGTTCAATCGAATATCATTTTCTATACATATTTTGTTTAATGCCGTATTCAAATAAACTTAATAGTTTTCGGGTGGTTTATAAAAATACGCATAACTTTTCCGAAACTTATATCGTTATTCTCAAACAGTAGCCACATATGGCAGACAGAAATTGACAATGCTGTTTACTAAATAAAAACACACGTTTAAAATGGAAGCTCATTCTATTTCGTAGCTCCGTGTAGCGCTGTAGGCTGTAGCGCTCTCTAAAATTCGGCGCGAGTATTGCATCGCCTACAGCCTCCCCCGATTTTCAATGGGCATCCATCGTTAATCTATCTATACTACAACTAACTTTCATATTACACAAATAGCATTTCCAAAAACGAAAACGATGTACCAATTTAGGATTTTTTTTAACTGCACTGGTAGGTTCTTTTGAGTGTTGTAAATATAGCTAAATGAATTATGCTGTCAGTTTTAGTTTTGTACCCTCTTCTGTCACGATTCGAGGCTCCTTAACTCTGTCATCGAATTAAGTAATCATAATTCTGTTTTTTTTTTTTCAGTATTCATTATTGTGATTTCAACCTTACCGGCTGCTCAGACGCCTAAAGTCTGTCTTAATGAGTGAACATGGCAAATAAACATATTTAACGCAGGTAAAATATTTTTTTGACATGTGTTAGTACGTCTACGTAATACGATAAGCTAAATTAGATCCGAAAGTGACACAGAGCCCTAAAGAAACAAAACATAAAAAACTAAACTAACTAAACAAATATATAAATACGAGTACTCAGCTGGCTCAGCGACCCGAAGTGGGTTTTGGCCTGCGATACGAGTTGGCGCCAGTGCGCCCAATTAAATTCAATTAATCTAAAGTAATTAAATTCGCAAATGGAATACGAAAGCAAAGGAGTATCGTGGCAAACTATATGATTTATTTGATCTTACCTAAGTGCGCACTAAGTACCAGTAATAAGTGATCGTTAGTAAAGTAAGTAAAGTTACTGTCTGTATGTCCCGCTTCAGGGCAAAGGTGACCCCACTGCGGACTGGCGGACTTTACATATATACGAAATATTTCTTTTTATTATTATTTCGAAGACATGCCGGTTTTATTACGACGCTTTCCTTCACGGCGAAGCACGTGATATCAGCACTTGAAATCAACAATTTCATCGGCACCGGACACTGAGATTGAACTCAGGTTGTTCGACTATATTTAATTAAAAGACAATGAGCTATCCTCTAGAGTAATAAGCTATGGCAGTATTGACACGTAGTTAACAATCATAAACCAGTATTCATTACTGGTATTAAAGCCGAGTACCAGGCGATCAGCACTCAACGCGAGTGAAATTTCCGAAACGCACAAGCGAGCCGACCGGTGCAACGGCACTCGTAGAGCACCTTTACACGTCGGCGATACGTAGGTGGGACGCGGGGTCGCGGCGGCGCGTCCGACACTCGACGGTGTCGTTACGTGGTGTCGGAGAGGCCTCTGGAGGGCCCGATAACGAGCCACTCGAGCCGCGGCGCCCACTGTCGCCGCTGACGCCGCTCGGGCCATTAAAGCCACACGTCGACGCCGAATCGCGTTCCGAGCGACGCCAATTTCTCGACGACGGAGCGACGTGCACATCACCACTCTGGTCTGACGTGTATCGGGGTGTGTAATGCGTTCAAAATTACATCACGACATCAGGTGACATGGTACCAGCGCAGTGAACGATCTAAAAAATACAGTGTGAAGAAAATGCACTTATCGTCAGGGTTCCAGTGATATTCGCACCGCTTCAAACAAAGGCTTAAAATTCGAATTCGAAAAGAATCGCTTGAGGGTGTTAAGATCAAATAGATAAACGACGCTACATTCGCAAAAGAACCGAGCGTCAGCGGAAACGCTACAGCTTATGTTTCCCACCGACCTCGTAACCTACGTTTGAGATGAGACAAAACACGTTGGACTTCTAAGAGTCTGCGGAAGCGCTGTGAAGATTAATTAATATTCATTAGTAGATAAAAATGTGGATAACGATAAAAACTTACTATCATATATTTTTATCATATTTTTACAACCTCGTATACTATCAGTAACTCTATTACGTTGAAACATAATTTGGAAAACTTATTCCAACGTTAATAGACTTATATTAACTGTATGAAAACTGCATTTATAATAACTTAAAAAAATGGTCAAATCTAGAATAGCATGAAATTGAAGCAAAGATGGCTTGTACTCTCTTCAATTTATTAGTATACTCAAACAAAATGTTCGTTACAATTTAAAAAGATCCGTTTTCTTGCAAAAACAATGCAAATAGCCAGAATTATTTTATTACCAAAAAAAGTATAAATGTTGGCGCTGGCAACACTGTATACCGGATATAACGTTATCTACTCGAGCCAAGGGACACATGGTCGCATGGAGCAGCGGTCACTTGGATTTCAGCCGCGTTAGTGGACGGTGATATAACCACTAGAGCTGCTTGTCGTTATAATAGTTGTTAATATTTATGTTCAGTAATAGTTAAAATATTAGGATCAAGGTAAAAACGATAGAACTCTTATATATAACTGCTTATAACTTGATAATTACTAATAAGGATAAGAATATTAGAGCCCACGACGACGCCTCTAATACTTATGTAAGCAATCAACAGGATCGATTGAGATGTTTGACAACCTCAAGTCACAGTTGCCCGAGCTACCGAGATGTCAGCTTGAAAATCATCCACAGTCCGGTGTACGCAGCAAATACAAATTTATAGTCACGTATTTTATTTTAGCACTAATCTGAAGTCAAGATGAAACTAATAGATGAATAAATAAATCGTCGAAAACATTTCGCCGCTGCCAGGTATTTTTGAATTTCTGGACTCCGATTTGAACTTAAAATTCTTCAATCAAAACACGCCCGTGTGTCACTGTATGTCTACTCTGTATGGTACTCACACACAGTAGTAGACGATCATCATTCACAGTGAGTATAGTAGTATACATTGTTCACTGAAATCACTTAACATTACGCTTATCATCACTTAATTGAGATTAAACCACTTAAGTGGGGATGGAACGAACGACGAACTTGGCTATTAGAATATAAAATGACATTCTGTTGACAGATTTGGACAACTGGAATTTGTAAATGGCAGTTTCCGCTACTTGAAAGCCAATAGGTATAGTACCAATTGATTGGTATAGTACCAATACTATAGTAGTATACTACTAGATATAGATCTGTACAAAGGACTGGTTATTTATTACTATTAATAATTTAGTCTTTAATCCCAACAGCATACCTACATAAGTTTCTACCAGCCAACATAATCCCGAAATTGACAGCTTTTTCAACCAGTGATATGTACAACTAAGAAGTCTGATAAACGGAACAATTTTATTGGTGTACTCCACTGAATTCCGACTAAGCAACCGCTAGAATATTATTGCTTTATATGTAGTATCTGTTTAATTTTTCAACTGTGGTAGGGCCACGCAAAAATCTTCGATGTTGCACGAATGGGCAGGTCCTTTCGGGAAAGTACCAAGAGCTCATATAACACCGACGTTAAGTAGAAGTGTTATACTTCTCTGCATTTCGTCTAATGAGTGAAGTAGCCGGGGCCCCCTTCGATAATAAGGTAGCAACGCATCAGCAACCCTACGGGCGTTGCAAATATCAATGAGCGGCGGTAATCGCTTAAGATAAGGTAAACGCCTCGTATGCTACCTTTTCACATAAAAAAATAATAATCTGTTTAAGTCATATCGTCTTGTAATTATAACTGCAGGTAATAAAGGGATTTGGTAAAGAAACCGCTTTAGATTTCTATAAAAAGCCATATCGTCGATTTCACTCTTACGATTTTTTTCAAGTAATAAAATAATAAATGAACTTGAGAATGACGTAAAAAATATACAACACTATCAGAGAGGAAAAAAAGATTTACTATATATATTCATTACAAGAAGAAAGCATTTTATTGGCGAACAACGACAACTAGATTTAAACTAGATTCACGCGAACAGTAGTCTCACTACTCCAATGGTACTATAATCAATATTGCGGAAAAGCCAATATAGTGTCGAGCCTAGGGCAATAATACCACGCGCCATCCCTTCGCGCTCGCTGCTGTTAAACTATCATTTTGGTATTACTCAAATATTAGCTTGCATTCGATAAACACCCACGTCTCGAACATACAGTGCTGAACAAACAAATATCTCGTACAATACATGTAACATATTTCTAAACTACATATTATTAAAATGATAAAATTCTTATTTGTATTATGGGTTATCGTAGGAACTTTAGGAAGGATGACAATTTCTTGTATTTTACGCGATTACACATTACTTAATAAGAAATCAGACATCTACAATGATCAGTGTTTCTGAAACCGAGCGTTAGTGCTACAAGCTACATTTCATTCGAATAAAACTCAACACTTTTCAATATTTGTAGGTCGAGTCGAAAGAAAAAGCTGGAAAGCTGTAATATTTATATGAGGCGCGTTTGAGTGCCCTCGTATGTTTAAAATATTGCAGTAACTAAATGCGAATTATTAAATATTTAATTCATGTTTATATCGCTGAAAAAATTTGATATGGAAATTTTAATTGCTTTTCTACCTGTACCAGCCGGGTTATGCAAGCTAGTTACCATACCCTACCATTCACATAATTCTACCAAGATCTAAGGGTTCTGCCACGAACAGTTTAATCGCCATCAGATCGCCAAGCCGTGAGCATACGTAATTTCGGAGTAATTTTCATAAGTAAAATTTCATAAAAAGGACGAAATGTTTTTAGCCGCTGCCTGAAACAAATCCACGTCCTCCAGAATCGATTATTTATATAAGCTAAACGGCGGATTCATCATTATCTTATCATTTCATCTTGTCCACTGCTGAATATAGATTAGGCCTCCCCCACAGACTGCCACAAAGCACGATCCTGAACCACCTGCATCCGTCGATATCACACATATTTGCATAGGTCGTCACTCCATCTAGCGGGGATTCCAGCTGATTGCCACACAGGTTTTTTTTTCTAAAAATTTTAATGTATCATCTAAGTTCAGAGATCGGCGCTATAAAGCCTTAATATAGGTAAAATTGTAAACATTCATAACGTTCGAGCTTGAAGAACCATACGAGTATAACGGTCGCTCACCAATTCAGAAGATTGGCTTCAAACGACGCAACGACTTCGGTGTGTTGAATAAATCCAACATTGACCGGAGAAGAATCCTCTGTAACCGACACCATTCCGTACCTCCCACACTTATTAGCGCGGAGAAAACTTGGGCTAGGTTATCGGCAAATAAACCAACAAGCGGCCGACGACGCGGGGCGTCAAAGCGGCAAGCCTTTCAGACGCCACTCGCCCTTTGTGACGGCAACGGCAACTCCTCAACAACTCGAAACCGCCGCCGAAATGTGAATTAGGGTGCAGCGCGCCGAAAGGGGGTCACGGAGGGGGGGGGGGGGTTAGAGCCACTTTCGCGAGAACAGGAGCAACAAAACCAGCTTCTCCGTGTCAAGATGCGGCTGGCGCATGTCCGATCGAAATCTACTTTTTTGCCAACGGCGGCGGCGGACGGCCCTCGACGGGTGACTCCGGGCGTGATGCGATTATGGCCGCTTTGTGGCGGGAACCGTTCAAGGGCCCCGACACGAGGTTTCCCGTTTAAGGCAGAACTTAAACGGGAAACTTATACGCCTCGTTTCGCGTGACGAGACGACACGTGAGATCTGGACTATGAGAGACGTGGCTAAATAATATACGGTAATGGTTCCTTACGAACCTAAGTTTATAATTTTTGATGTATAATTTGACGATTCGTAAGAACGCGCCAGCGTCTATTTGAATAAATATATTTTGATTTGATTTGAATTGATATACCTATATGACGGATTTTATGTCGAGTGAACCCTTCAAGTGGGCAAGAACGTATTTGGATGCATTTTACATGAATTAAACACAGTATCGTAATAACTAAGAAATAGGAAAAAACATTTAATTTTTTATTTACAAGGAACTAATAATTATAATTTTTAAGAATAAGAATTCATAATTTATTAGGTATCGCCATATTTTTTCAATGAATTTGAACAAAAATGTAAATGCAAGTAATAATAAAACTTTAATTTTAACGAGTTGAGTTCATATATTAATCCGTAATTCGATTTTAATTGACTTAAACTTAATGAAAAATATAAGCACGACTAATATAGGTATTAGAAACTTAAGAATAAATATATAAAAGTTTACGACAGACAAAAATAATAATAATATCAAAAACTACTTAAATACGACATACAAACCGATTCACTCTGCAGAGAGTTAATATTTTCTCCTGTCGTTATAAAGTATTGGCTCTCATTATATAATCAATTACATTTTTATTAAAAAAATCTATGTCTACAAAGTCAAGGTTATTTTGGAGTACGATAAAATCCAATATTATTCTTATAGAGTTCGTGGCAAATAAAATAACGTAAATAAATAAGAAATGGTCAGCGAAAACCTAGGTCATTGCAATACCGAAGGCAAAGGTAAGGTTCTTAAGTCGAGTAATTAATTCTTATAAATCTTAACATGTTAAATATACTTCAAAAGAACGTCAGGTGTGACTGACTGTTGGCAACATTTACTTGTTGGTTATTTGATAATCGAAGAAAGGCTCAATAAAGCTAATAGGGAGGAGAATAGTTTATTTTTTATTCAAAACTGGCCAGCACTTGACTGCCATCCCACCATGGCCCTGGGAATGAGTTGATCGCTCCCAAGCTATTTCTAAAACGAAAAAAAATCATCTGTATATTTTAATTTTTTTTATGAAAAAAAAAAAATGAATTACAAAAAAGAGGATACCTACGGAGTTTCTTTCGCCTGTTTCTTCTCCGCTAGAGGAACTACATTACGAAACGGTGGTAGATAAAAAAAAATATGACTATCGATAGATGAAATAGTCTAAGTTTCTTATGTCCATGAATAAATGATTTTGATTTTTGATGGTATATAATAGTACCTGGAGGACCTGTAGGTTTTTTTTTGTAAATCATGTATTTTGGAAATAAAAAAATAAAAAAGTAAAGAAAATGATCTGGTATAGAAAAAAAAGTTAAAAAAATAAGATTGTAAAATGATCGTGATACGAACAGCGGCCGTCTGTTTTGGGGCCGCCCGATTACCGACCGAGCTATTGTAAAATTTTTTTTTGCGGCGAAATTTACCGTCATAGTCGAATGATATTTTCATTCCCTGAAAACAGGGATAAAAGGACATTTTCTAAAAATGAAACCTAGCTCTAGCTATGTCTATCAATTTTTCTAAATCTACGCACATCCTAAATTTCATGAAAATCGCTTATTTATTTTATCCCGATCGACGCGATGAGCTTGACATGTGGCAGTGTTAGTGTGCTTGGATTTTTTTTAATTATAGGATCATAAGCTTTCGGGTAATTCAAATACCTTTATTCAACAGAGAAAGTGCATTATACTTAATTAGTGTTTGTCAAAATACTACTACCGGTTCAGAAAAGAAAAACCACTGACCTGACAAGAACCGACGAAAGACACTCAGCAGGACAATTTGATTTTTACTACTAATTAACAGAAAAAAAATGTATACTGCATATTATAATCCACTAGGAAGAGTCTGGACGATAAATTAATTTCCGGAATGTGTCATAATTTAATTCTCGGAAGGAATCGGTGATCTCCTGCGAATATTTGAGATTTGTCGAATCTAATGTGGTTGGAGTGGTTTAAAATAGGATCACCAATTGCAGACTTCTTCCATTGGTGCTTTCACGGCACGATGTTATCTCTTTCCCGTCCTGTGACAATGGAAGCTGCACAGTTACTACAGATGCTAGTTACAGTTTTAGTAGTACTAGTTATTACATTTAAGATACCACAACCATTTTGTGGCAAGAGAATTTATAGCTAGTTCCATAATTAAATTTTGCTTGCTTATATTCGTGACAATGAATAATATAGGTCAGTGATTTTCAACCACTGTGCCGCGGCACTTTTGTGTGCCGCCAAATTTCAAAAGTGTGCCGCCAAATTTTGCAAATATATAATAATGTTAATATTATTAAATTATATCATTTAAAAAGAAAAATATTTTTTGGCATTAGCGAACATTAAAACTAAAAAAAGATCAAGATTGTTAAATGTAGAAGACGATATGAGAGTAGCATTGTCATTTTTACAACCAAATATAAATGAAATTATCAAAAAATATGAAGCTCAAATCTCGCATTAAAAAATATTTTTATTATTAGCTTGTAATTAATCCCTTAATAAACGTTTAGTTATTATTGTAGTATATATTAGTTTATTTCGTATATTTAAAATTTTTATCATAAACTATTTATGCAGTGTGTTGTAGTAAGTAAATATTTTTATTTTTTTCTTTGTGTGCCGCCAAATTTTGAAATCTTTAAATATGTGCCGCAACAAAAAAAAGGTTGAGAATCACTGATATAGGTAATTCAATTCAATTTCAAATATTATGATTCAATACAGAAGCATTACACTTATTGGTTGTCAAAATACTGCCACATAACCAAATAACATAATAAATCATTTATACACTAAACCCATTGTTTGTCCTTTGTTCAGGTAACTCAACTGGATGCGCGTAAGTCTACCTTACAAAAGCTATTATTATTGGCTAATTTTACTTACCACTATCTGTTTTATTCAACCTTGACATTGGCAGAATCATTAAGTTACTCATTGATGGAGCCATTATATTAAAATAGGAATAGGAAATACCGTAATATTATCTCTGATTTCAATCGTTTGCATACGCTTAATGGATTCATATTATCGATGAAACTGATAACCATCAGCATGCGAATAAACTTCACAAAGGTACGTTTATGTACGTACTGTTATGTACAATTTACATTATGGAGCTTCTGCATAGGTCAGCAGTCTTGATTTGTATAAAAACAGTTGTGTTACCCACGTAAAGGTCCCCCAGTCAGATAATAACTACCGATCGAGCCGAGGTCCGGCCCTCTCGGGCACCCTCGAATCTGAATGCTAAACGCATGTTGAGTGACAGCCCAAGCCGAGGTCTTAGTCTGAGAGCCCTCGAGCTTAGTCATCATAACTGTGAAGGCGCCAACAGTGGCTCATCCAGCCCAAAAAAAAAAAAACACGTAAGGCAGTCAACATGCATACTCCGTCCCATTAACATCTTTTTGTAACATAGCTGTGTGTAGTTATTTAAGTGCTCTCTCAAATAAAAGTGTTTTTTTTTTCAAAAAAGGACCCACAGAGCGCCATCCTTACAGTACTTACATTACTTGTTCGTAACAAGCTTTATGTAGTTACGTCATACATCATGCGTAATCTTGTATCTTGTATTAACTGATGTTTTTGCTTTCAGTCCCGAGACTATTAAAGCTTCATCGGACGCAGAACCGGTGGGCTAGCCAGAACCCACGGGTTTGGACCCTCCGCTATGGGTAGGGTGTGCCACTATGGTGTGTCATCTAAGGGCCGTCGAGGTCGCGGTTCGGACCGAGACCCCGACGGCCGTCGACTGTGCATTTGCTTCTGGCTCTAGTAACGCGTTGTGTGGGTCTCGCCGTGCTCGGAGGCGAGGGCGTACTGGTGTGATTGTTGTCACACTAACTGACATGCGTAATTGTTAACTGACTGATGAATGACAATTTTATTGGGCTAACACGTTTGTTCTTCTAGAAACTATTATTGGTATAACAAAATAAGCAGCATTATTTCAAACTGAAGCGTCTTTGGGAGTGATGTAATAAGTAACGAACTGTTTGTCCCACCGCTAGACAAGGCATGCTTTGTAAAGAGTATAGATATATTAGAAAATTTCCATAGTGCACCATCCAAGGGTGCTAGATTTGCGGATTGACAGACTTTACTTATCTTCGAATTATTTTGCTTTCATTGTTTTCCTTCATCGCCGAGCGCGTGATAAATCGGCACTTAAAACTGTAATTAACAACTTCATTGGAGCCGGCATCACCGAGCTTTGATCTAAGGTTGCTCGAGTATACTGAATTAATAGCGTCCGGACACCGGGCTATCAACGGTTCGTTCTTTGTGAGTGTATAATTAATTTTTCAAATATTTGCAAAATGAAAAGATGTCAATATAAAGTGACTCAAAAAAAAATGTTGCTTTGAAAATTTCGTGACAGTAAAAACATAATTACCATCATGATCAATGTCATTATTCCTCACTCAAAACGATTAAATAAAGAATAAGAAAAATTACAATAACAATAAATTTTACCCGCTCTATCACGAGTTTTAAAATTGTCTAAGTTTTTTTGGATTCCATTTCCTTATTGCTTTCATTTCTTTCATCAAGATATTTTTCTATGACATTGGGGAAGTGAAAACGGCACACAAAATTGCAAAGATTTGGAATCCGTTGCTTAATTTAGAACAAGTAAATTCTTTGCAGTCGTGGGGAACATTGCAGATAGCAAAGTAATGTTTAAGTTTTTGGTGCCAAACACCAATGCTATGAAACACTGAACAAGAGTATGTTTAATTTTGAACATAAGACACATCCTTACTAATATTATAAACGCGAATTTGTATGGATGGATGTTTGTAACTTTTTCACGCAAAAACTACTGTTTTGTACTACTGAATTGTCCAAAATATAGTTACTTGTAATGATAAATGTCAAGTAAGTGGGAAAAAATTCACTCATCTATTCTGGTGCATAATAAAAACACATCGATAATTCCCTTTAGCCACGCGGGCGAAGCCGCGGTTAACAGCTTGTTGAATTATAATAAAAATATAATTACGATACAACTAAAAAAAAAACAAAAGAAATTTTAATTAATAACCATGACAAAATTAGTTTGAATCGAGGATTACGACTGACACGTTGACGCAAATAAAGTTACGAAGGAAAGTTTTGCCGCGAGATTTTTGCTCATAGTTATTTTTTCAGCGATTTGCTGGTGAAAAGATCTTTCGGGGCTTACGCTCACTTTCTTTGAGGTTGTTTTCAAATTGTATTTCATGGTATTTACATGTATTGAACTTACTACACAGAAGTACGTCCGAGCAATCTATAACATCGGAGCCCGGAATACACTCGCAGATCTTTTTAAAGAAATTAATATACTCACTGTTGCGTCCCAATATATTTATTGTAATATTTTGTATGTTAGAAATAATCTTAATTGTTACCTAAAGAATAGTGATAGACATAAATTAAATACTAGAAATAAGGACAAATTAATTACGCCATTGTTTCTACAAAAAGTAAATAGATCGTTCATGGGGCAAAGTGTGCGCATGTATAATAAAATCCCACAGTCGATATTAAGTCTGCCACTAGATCAATTTAAAAAACAAAATTAAACGTGAACTTATGGCTAAGGCGTATTACCATTGCGGAATATCTTAACGACGCCAATGTATGGGATTAATACTGTTGATACTCACGTAGGCTAAAGTAAGGTTTATACCTATCCTATTATATTGTAAATCGTTTTAAAAAAAAGAGCAACTGTTGAGTTTCTTGCCGGTTTCTTCTCAACAGAAACTGCTTTCCGAACCGGTGGTAGCTACTTACGAACGTATTAATTTTTATGTAAAATGTTGACGTTTCATAAAAACGCGCAAGCGTCTATGTGAATAAATATATTTTTGATTTTGAGTACAAATTTCCTTTTCTTGATGTTTGATCTTTTTATTGATATAATTTGCCTTTGAGTAGGATGCGCATGAATTAAATTTTATCACGAAAAATTCATTACAATGTTTTTATTTTTATAATAATAGTCAAAAACAATTACACAATGTGCCTCTTTAAATTGCACATTTGTACATTTAAAATCAAGTTCAAGTGTGATATTAATCATTGATTAATGAAACTCGCAAGGAGCAGACTTTAATGGTTGGCCGTCAATACAGGACCAATTTCGGATGGCATGTAAGTGATGACAAGACGCTAACGCAGTTTACAGTGTAATAGACAGAGGAAATTGGCCAGAGCGGGCCCTAGAACTATTTCTAGAAATCTAAAGTAATGGCTATAGGTAAAAGACGATGACAAATATGACTTTTAAAACTAATTTATTTATGTTCACTGTGTCGAATCAAATACATATTCCCAGTCATTTTATAATTTACTAGCGACCCGACCCGGCTTCGCACGGATGCAATGTATTAAACATACAAACCTTCCCCTTGAATCACTCTATCCAGTATAACAAACCGCATCATGATCCGTTGCGTAGTTTTAAAGATCTAAGCATACATAGGGACAGGGAATAAACTTGTGTCTGAAGTCGAGGTTATGTTATGCAAAATCTCGGATTGGGGCAGACTTAATTTAGTCCAGTTTAACCCCATGAAGACACAGGTTTGCGCGTTTACCGCGAAGAGAAAACCCTACGTCGTATCTCCCTTTTTTGAAGGCACTCCCCTTGTTGCCACCGATTCGATCGGAATTCTTGGGGCCGATATATCGAGCAGCGTTCAATTTCGCGGTCACTTGGAAGGAAAAGCCAAGCTGGCTTCTAAAAAACTCGGTGTCCTAAACCGAGCGAGACAGTATTTCCTGCCGATACATCGGTTGCAGCTTTATAAAGCACAGATTCGGCCTCACATGGAATACTGTTCTCACCTCTGGGCTGGGGCACCGAAATACCAGCTCCTTCTATTTGACCGCATTCAACGAAGAGCTACTCGAATCGTCGACGACCAAATCCTGTCCGATCGCCTCGATTCTTTGGCCTTGCGTAGGGATGTTGCATCCCTATGCATTTTCTATCGGATATATCATGGGGAGTGCTCTGAGGAATTATTTGGGTGGAAACCTACTGGTGAATTTCACCATCGTACAACTCGTCAACCGCCAAGTACCATCGACACCACATTGATGGTTGGCGCTCCACCACAGAGCGATTTTCGAACGAAACTTTCTACCCCGCACAACTACTTTGTGGAACGAGATGTCGCCAGCGGTATTTCCAGACCGATACGACTTAGGGACCTTCAAGAAGAGAGCCTATTCCTTCCTTAAAGGCCGGCAACGCAATTGCGACTCAACCGATATTGCAAATGTCCATGGGCTGCGGTGATCGCTTATCACCAGGTGACCCACATGCTCGTTTGCCTCCAATTTCCATTAAAAAAAAAAAAAACAGACAGACAGCGGGTCAACTTTGTTTTATACTATGCAGTAAGAAAACTACAACAATAGAAATAATAATACAACAATATATATTAAACATAGTTGTTTTGTAGTCAATAAAGATTATTATTATTAAAAAAGACTACCACAAAGTTCAGGTGAAAAATGCTCCAAGTCCTCCAAAAAATTCACAAGTTTCACAAACGTATTTAGGAATAAAAATTCAAAACATATTAAAATAAAAAAAAGACTTGTTTAACCTTTTCACGCTGCCAAAAGTTTACAAATAGTATTACAAAAAAATTGACAAAAAATTGTCATTTTACGCAATAGCTTATCAGGACAACAATGATCGTACAGCACGCAAGCGAAACCCGACGCGGCCTTTGAGGCTACAAAGGATGAGAGTGACAACGGTACATAACACCGCAATTTCGAGGTGCACGTCGGACACACTTGCAAATATCCGATGCGCCGTTAGACAACGGAACATCGATACGTCGTCTCGATTCGTCAATAGGGACGCCGCAGCATCTAAACGCGCTCTGGCGGTTCGTAGCTCTACGCCTCGAGTGACACTAGACGCACGGCTCAAAGGCGAGTGTTTGCCCCTTTGTCTTGCCGGGCAATTAGTGCGGTCCGTTCATTTAATTCTATCGGTCGATTAGCTGTAGAGCCAGGTGGCCATTAATTGTGAGGTCGGCACTACGGGCCCCGGTGGGCGGAGGCCAGCCGTGCCAAAAGCCACCGTCGTGCGCGAGTTTAAGACAGAGATTCGCGTGGAGCTCTACCGCTACGTCTCAACGGCCTCTTTGCTACGCGCTACGAGAAATGCCCGATCGAGTTATGAGGCAAATTAGAATAATATGGTCTGGTAGGTAATTTTCTATGGAATTCCTTTATAAATGCGAGTATGTATGTCTAAATCGTATTTGAATTAGATAAGTAATTAATTAAAATCTACTTATATGCTACGAGTTCTATTCTAAGTATAAAACAAAATAATATTTAAGTCGTTTTCAAGTGTTAAGAAGCCAAAAGCGTTTACAACTGATCAAACTGTACTTAATGATTGAGAAATTTTTACACCCGTAGCTTAAGCTTTCTTTAGGTCTTCCGATATATATAATACTGTATTGAGCACGGTACGTATGATTAAAATGGCATTGAATGAACGCAGCGTAGATTTGCATTGGGGCCCTATTTCTTTCAGCTTACACCGGCGAATGGCGATGGAGAGACGCTGAAACAGCGCCTTTCAGAGACGTTTACACGACGCGCCGCTGCCAATAAACTAGATGGTGCAAACTTGCGTTACAGCGCGCGGCAAACCATTGAAACTGAATCGCCCGCTTTGACACAGTTCGAGTGTTCGTTGCGTTTGGTGTTCTCGCCCTAAAAGAGTCGTCGCAAGGAAGTTATAATAGAGGCAGCGCAACAATTGTTTTCTATTATATGCAAACGTCTGCATTATGTTGACTCACACTAAAGGAATATTTAATTATTTTTTATTGAAAGAGAAAAAGTGTAGCATGACTTTTAAGCATGGGAAGCTCGTTCGTCATGCTACACTTCGATGAGTAAGCTAATTCCATGCAAACACTCAATATTTGAAGATTTTTAAGAATATTTTAGGGTCAATGGAGGCAAGTCATTTTTATTGGATAAGGTGGAAGCGAGCAGGCGCTACCATCTACTGCTGTTGCAGGAATGGGCAGGCGCGGCCGGGGAAACGCTCACAGAAGACTAGCGTAAAGTAGACATATTAAACTTTCGCGTTTCGTAGTGAGGGAGGTAACCGGGGCCCACATTTTTAAAGGTTGTCAACACATCTGCAAGCCCTCGCGTATTGTAGATGTCCATGGGCGGTATTCACTTAACATCAGTTGAACCGCCTGCTAGCTTGACTTAACTTAACTTTTCACTTAAAAAAAAAACCAGATGAAAATTCAGCGGTTCATTAGCTAACCTCTACTAGGGTGAGCCCCAGTTACGTTCGGTCAAGGGACGAAAATCAAGATTATTACAACTAATTCCGGAGATGTAGGGTCGCAACCAAGTCTTCACAGAGTAGCCATGGTGGCGACCCTAACTGTCATGCACCAGCAGAAGTTACCAATACCACGGTAAAGAATTAAGTTATTAATTTTTTTTTGTACATCACTGAAAGAGAGGCGCGACAACGCTACCTCGTAACAGTAACCGAATAAACGTATGTGGAAGATAAAACTGTGCAGCTGCAAAGCTGAATTTCCATCCATGCCCGCATCGTTTCGGTAACGTATTCGCTGCCCTCGAACGAGGCGAGTGTTATTAGCAACTTGGACGAGTCCGCTGTTTACCTCGCGAGACGGGGAGCGATTACTTAGCGATTACTTGGACGGGCCGGGCGGGGCGCCCGCATATCGCGGCGCCAACTTACGCCAAGTTTTATATTAAAGGATTGGACGGGGGCGGAACTTATCCGATACAGTTTCGGTGAGCGCGACGAGACTCGGCTCGCTTAATCTATTACACGTTTGATCTCTGGCCCCCTTTGACAGATAATCTTTCGTGCGGCGCGCGGGGGCTGAGGTGAAACTTATCGGGAAATCTAAAAGTATGGAGTTTTGTGTATGGACTCTTTCTAGCTTAGTAGTACGGTGATATGGAACGATAAATGTCTCTTAATCACAGTATTTTTAATAGTGATAGTGTTTAACGAATAAATCCCTTTATCTTTATATATATAATTATTCTGTACGTGTGTATGTCACTAAACTCCCCCTAAACGGCTGGACCGATTTTAATGAAAGTCGATTCGAGAATGGTAGATTCCCTTTTTTTATTTTTTTTTTGTTACGTTATCGGATTTAAGTTGTGTGTATACGACTACGTCTGTTGGGTCCGCTAGTTTTATTATAAATTTGCCAGCTGCTGGCGAATGTTCTCTCAGAAAAATGCCTTAAAGCATGTATTAAATCTACATTTAATTTTAAGTTTCCTAATAACCACAAAATGCATCAGTTTTAAATGTATTTGACTATCAGCCAAACACACAAAATGGATAGAAATATTAATAATCAAGGAAACACAAATTAATAAAACCATTAGGCAACTCGAAATAACTTTTAAAAGCACAAAAAATTGTGAAACGGGGAACGCAAAAAAATGATAACAGAAAAGGCTTCCTCGCTAAGAGTTCAATACACTTTGAATACTTCACGTTCGAAATTTCAGAAGGATTTCAAGTTTTTATAATGTTCAGAACATTTGGATGGTCGAATATTTATGTAACTCGTAGGGATAGAATTGCAACAAATCGGAATTTTTTAATAACATAAAACCTCCACAAAACTATTCCGACGGGCAAAAGAAAAGGACAACAAATTGTCTTTTTAGCACGGCTTAGCACCTGCAACTGCTGACTAAAGTGAACTTCACACCTTCTTTAACTGGAACAAAGGGGAGACTTAAGAATAGTCTAAGACAGCGCGTTCAAAGCATCGGAGCTTATATTTCTCGCGCCTACACTGAACTAGCATGCGAATGATAATGTAATATGCGTCAGCAGTGCCAGAAAGCTTTCGAACAGTCATTAAAATCGAAACCTATTTTGAACCACCGACAAGTGTATCGCGTTATGAATCGATAATATGGGGGACATAAACTACTCATAAAGATAGACGTGAAATATGATTTTAGAAGCACACAGTGTGGTTTATTAATTTAATAGAACTAAAATATGACAAGACTAAACAGAGTGGTGTCTTGTTAAGAAAGGAGACAAAAGAACAAGGTTAACAGCCTATGAGTCATAAAAATCATACACAAATAATTATGGACGGTTTATTGTTAGATTAAATTTTAGTTGCTTAAAGCAGGACAACCAAGATCGATTATAAGATCCGCAAAAATGGCTGACTTTTGAGAATTAATGACAGTGATTAACTGCAATACGTGTGGTCGACGTTGGGGAATTAAAAATGCACATTTCTATCTATAAATCGCCGAACTGGTCGTATACATTTACATACTCTTGTCATTCGTATAGTTCCTTAACTTACTATTCCACTAAATGTCGTACATATACAGCCTCCGCTGTTGCACGAATGGGCAGGCTCGACCGGGTAAGTACCACGACCTCACAGAAGACCGGCGTAAAGTGGAAGTATAATACTTTCGCGTTTCGTCTGGTGAGTGATGTGACCGGAGCCCAATTTTCAAAAGTTTGTCAACGCATTTGTAACTCTAATGTATTCACTTAACATCAGGTGAACCATCTGCTCGCTTGGCAACTTTTAACATAAAAAAAACACACAAAATCTTTTCGTCAGTCTTCCTCCGGTCATCATCATCTGACAGCGTTGAAATGGCATTCATCATTGAATCAACTCTCGACCTGTTACCAATCGTGAGTAATTGTCGAATAGAACGGTCCCTTTCCACTTACGCGCCGTCGCCTGTCGGCAGACGAGGACATATTTCGATGAGATCGAGCGTTGTGTGTGCGGGGCACAAAGGGCGACATCGCGAGACCCCCGCTGTTGAGTGCGACACTCGAGAGACTTATCGCGACTTCGAATCAGGCTCGGTGAAATAGTATGAAAAGAAACATTTAAGAGGCATGCCTGCATATTCTAATGGTTCGGGTATGATATAGATAATAACTACAATAGATCTTCTAGGTCGCAGTGGTCGTATGGATTTAATATCCAACCCCTTCCACACAATCATGATTTAAATTAAAGTTTCCTTTTGAATGCTATCCCGATGTCTAAAAAAGACGACTTATTACAAAACTAAATAGTAACCATTGAAGGAAATGAACTTTATCGTTTCTATTCAGTAGTAAAGTCAATTTCCTTCAATGGTATTTCATTTGCCACAATAAAATGATATAATATAATGAATCCGACCAAACTGAATGTGGACGAAATTGATACCGCTGATATATGGTATAAAGACAAGGCTTTTCTTCACCTGAAGTTCTTTCTTTCAGCCCGTAGGATATCGGAACTTCATAAATTCATGGGGTAGCCAGTACTCACGAGCTTGATACGGCCTATTGGGTTGGGTAGGGCCGCCCAGTAGTGCGTTATTAAGTAACACCTTACGCATATTCCACTTGGCTTAGAGCGTCAGCGCCATTTAAATGGGTTATAGTAAGTGCTGACTTATCACGCGTTCTGCAAAACACAATAAGAAACCTGTATATTACCGAAATATTGATAAAAAAACAAACTCGAAGAAATGTGAAGTCTACCAGTCCGCAGTGGGATCGCGTGTCCGACTATGCCTCAGCCTTAATACCCTCTGTACAAAGGAGGCCTCCGCTCAGCAACGGAACATATATAGGTGTTACTTACGTTAAAGGTTATTTAAGAATTATTTTCAATTGTCAACTATATATCTGAAGTCCGCCAAACCTAAGTCTCTACTATTTCCTCGTACCCTCTGTACACAGGCCTTTGCTCAACATCTGTACTTATATAGGCTGTTACTAACGTATGTTAGTAACAGCATGTATTGTATGTTGTTTTACAATATCAGTACAGTTTATAGGTATATAGTCGGTTTTTGCCGTTTTTATAGATAATGGTACAGAACCCTTTGTGCACGAGTCCAACTCGCACTTGGCCGGTTTTTAATCTTGCGGTGGTTCATAAAATATGGACTAAACTGCAACTAGCCACAGACGCCATTCAAGAGGACTTGATTCCTCTGAACGCCATTTAAATAGCACCCCATTTAAGTTATTTGCCGATCGCAAGCGAATTTGCTTGCTCCACTAAGCTTGTAATGGATTTGTATTAGGTGGGTCTTGAGTGCAGTCCGTCAAGTACTAAAATAAATTAATTACATACTTATACTTTTCGGCTATCTTCTGCGATGCCGCGTTATTTTGCCGTCGAAGTGGCCACAAACAGCGGCTGATGTGTAGTCGTACGACAGTAAATTTCATACGCATCGACTGCGTATAGCTATTGAGGTCTGTCTTTGTGATTCCCTTTTTGCAGAAGTTCCTCGATATAATTAATAATTATGCGAGAAACAACCACAGTGTAAATTTAGTGAGCCAAGTTTTAAGAAAGACTTGTAAGGTACCTACGCGAAAAGTTGTTTTATCGACTAAACTAACACCATTGACAAATTTGTACCAAGCAATGTATTCGTTGCTTAGGAAAATAGCGAACTTCACATCGGTCTCCGCAAAATGCGAGAATCTCAATACGATAATAAAGGTTAAGAATGATAACAAATTCGACGAAATTGAGCCAACGTCGGCATCCAACGCGTGTAGGGTACAATTCTGTGAAGCGTACATACAAGGGAGACATCTCAGGGTGTCGAAGAATTCCATTAAAAAAGCGCCCAGTTACCAATTATCGCTGATGCTTGACTTTGACATCGTAC